CTGTGGAGGCAGGCAGGGCCAGCGGGTGCGGAAACCCCTGGCTGAGGAGTGAGAGAGCTCACAGCTGGCTCTGAATGCTGTAGCTGCAGGTCAGGGAGGAGAACAGGAGTGACTGGGCCAGAGACTGGATAGGAGATTGGGCAACGGGTGACTGAGCTACGGAAGACTGGACTACAGACTGAACTGACTGGACTACAGGTGACTGGACGACAGACTGGACTGGAGGAGACTGGGCTACATGGGACTGGAGAACAGGAGACTGAGCTACAGGGGACTGAACTGACTGGAATGGCGAGGCTAATGGCTGAGCAAAGGTTGGTGGAGCTACTGGCAGAGCTAAAGATGGTGACAGTGCTGCCTAACTGTCTAACAGCGACATCAACATCAATGACACGACAGTGAACTGGTAAAACTGAGGAACTTAAATACACAGACTGAATGATAACCATAATTGGACACAGGTGAGTACACAGCTGAACATAATAAAACAGAAAATGGAACGTGGAAAAAACAGTGAACATGAACTGAGAACGCCAGGAATCCTGACACATGTAGCCTAAAGAAGATAACTTGTAAGCTGGAGACGAAATGGTGTGTCACAAATTTAGAAGATCATCATTTAACCTGGAGAAATAGTTTGTTGCTTTATAAGAAAGCCCTCCACGAAGCCAGAACATCTTATACATACATACAGTTTACAAGACACTGTATACAGTAAACTACAGTTTAGATTAGAGACTTGTAACACCCCTCTTCTATACAGAAAGTATAGAAGTGAAGTCTTAATTTAGGTTTTTTGTTATTCCAAATAAATCTATCAAAGATACTGTTTAACTTATCAAAGAATTCTTTTGGAAGAGGCAGAGGAAGTGACTGGAACAGATATAAAAATTTTGGTAATATGTTCATTTTTATCATGTTTATATGGCCAATCACTGATATGGCCATTGTCATTCATTTATTTAGAGTTTCCTCCACTTCACTAATCAAAGGGTCATAGTTTGTTGCTACAATGGTGTCAATGTCTGGGGTGATTTTAACTCCAAGATACACAAATCCTTTTTGCATTAATAAGTCGCCTTGAGGCGACTGTTGTTGTGAATTGGCGCAATATAAATAAAATTGAATTGAATTGAAAGATGGAGACCAGCACAAAGAGACTTCAAAGCAGTCGTCATGGTGATTCTACTGTAGAAGCATGAACAGGTAGAGGCTGCAGCCTGATTGCAGCAACTTTTTTACTTGTTGTTCAGGCTCTGGCTGCTGGGCTGAGGTCTGCATTTACTCAGCTTTAGCATCACTCTGGGTTCTCGGCTAGCTTAGCATTAGCATGGCATCTGTGAAGGTGCTTGCAAAGAGCTGAAGTTGTGTTAGCAGAATAATGCAGCTGTTTCTGTCCTGGAGCAGTCTCCACTTTACCATAAAATATCCATATTCATGCTGTAGGCTGTGCCACTATTTTCCTTATCCTGCACACAAACTGAAATTAGCTGATTGCCCAAGTGCAAGCAGAACCGATAAGTGTGATCGATAGGCAAAGCATTTTTTCCCCTTTTTCTTAAGGACACGACTTCATGATATCAGGTGCTGTTTATCTGCTGTAGATATCGTTTTAGGCCTCACACTTCTTCTTTAGGCCTTTGCTTTTCTGTTGTCCTCAGTTTTTTTTAACAAAGACACGCTGCTCACAATGCCAAAATGTGCAAACTTTTCAGCTAACAGGTCTGCGAGAATAAACTTGCTGGTGCAAAAGTACTATTTCATGCTGTCAAAATGTGTTGTTTTTTCAATTAAAGCTGTGAAAATGCTAAAGAACGTGTTATGTGTTTTTATGACAGGCTGCTAGTAACAAAGTATCTAAAGATCCTGTTTAAAACCTGATTCTTACTGGAACCATTTAAGTTAAACTGCAGTTTTGAAAGAGGGATGAATGCTTCCATCATCAATAATCTTCTTGCATAATTTTTCTTCTTTATTGCTCCATCTATATACCCTGTATTTCTTTTCTATATTTCACAATGTTCTGACAAACACTAAAATCAAAGTATTTTCCAGAATGCTCCTGTGATCGACGGGGGACTCAGGAGACTCGGTGTCCTCTGGGGAGACCCTGTTTCTGTGATCCGAGGACAGGACAGTGTCCCTGTAGGACAGGTGTGATAGGTAAACTCTGTGATGAATGTGAGGACGGATACTGGAATCTGAACATAGCCTCGGGATGTCAGCCCTGCAGATGTGACCTCATCAAATCTATCTCCAACATCTGTGACAAGGCAAGAGCTCCACAGCCACAGACAGTGTCGGCGTGTGACCACAGGTTTTCATTTATCATTTAGGGTGTGAGGCTGTCACTCTGCTACTCCCCTCACCTCAGAAAAACAGCCTTGTATGTTTGTGTGTCAATTTCAAGGTTGTTTTTATTTCAAATAAAAAACATAAAATTATAAATAATCACCTGCAGTAGATGCTGATGGTTAAACTTTGAATGAATGTGTTGTGACATATTCAGGTAACTGGACATTGTCCATGCCATCCTGAGTTTGGAGGAAGGCACTGTGACGAATGCAGAGAAAATCATTTTAGGAATCCAGACCTGCAGTGTATCTGTGAGTAATATTTCAGTGTTTCCTTTAAGTGGACAATTATTCTTTTCTTTTCTGACATATGTCTCCAGGGGTGTTTATTCATATAAATCGTTCCAAAGTGTCAAATATTGAGGGCAGTGAACCAAAAACCAAAAAAGGGTGCAGACTGTTCTGAACACTCATTTTATCACACTTTTTATACTCTTTGATCTGCTTGATGTCGCAGGATGGGGATATTCTTATATGGTCACTGTAAGAGCTGCACTCAAAGCACAACATCCACATCTACCACTTC